AACATATATAAAGGTTGAGACTAACCTTGGACAGACGTATTAACAACATAGTGGGTAAAGGCAACAAAACACTATAGGCTTCATACGAAGAAAATGAAACTTAAAAGATTGCACTAAACCAATTAAAGCAGCAGCATATTCAACAATAGTAAGACCTTCAGTTGAATATGCATGCACAGTATGGGACCAAGAAAGGTACAGTTTGAGCATATCTGACTTGCTGAAAAGTATAAGCAGGACAAGTTCTGTCTACAATGACATTTTTTTACTTTAATATGGCGTATAATTAAGTCAACATGACCGAAATCATTAATTGACCCTGTAGAGAGGTTTTTGCTCTCGAAAAGAAGATTTTTACCAATTTTTGAATTCATGCGGAAACCAAAATAGAATGAGAGAGTTTTCAGCACAGTAAGATCTTCAAATAAAACTGACTGGCCTAAATTGTCAACAAACTATTTACATATTTATATTGCAATTTTAACACATTTTGGGGCATTTGAAAAAAATATAAAGTAGATAGAGAGAAACTTTATAGAGCAAAAATAGTCAGCATAGTGAAATCTACAAGAAAGACGATATGATTGAAATCTTCAGGTTCCTTTCAGGAAGTATGATTTTATCAACTATCTTGAAAACAATAAAAAAAAAAAAACGTTAAAAGATAGGTAGAAACAGAATTCACTATCACTAATAGGAAATCTACTAAAATGCTGCAAAATAAGAAGTTAAAAAGAGCCAACATAACGGATCCCAATAGATTTAAAATAAATCTAAAAATTAACTGGTCTTGAACATGCATGAAATATATGCCACTTGACGTTTAGTTACCACGATCTATCAATTAAAATGAATTTTTTTTACCAGGTGAACGATTTAGGTTCTTGTTTATTTGTTCAATGCTCTGGGGTATAAGTCATTTGTATTTGACCTCATTTTCATTGATGACTTTTAGCATAAATCTTCCCCAAGATTAAGTCATTGAAAAACTTTAAAGGGACTACCACTAACGGTAAGTCAATAATAAATATTTTTCAGTTAAGTGAAATTTGGTATGCAATTGAATTAACATTACCAAATCTCGTTCCATAGAGATGGTTTGGCACTGCCCTCCACTTTTCTTCCTCAGTCATAAAGAGAGAATCGTTTGCTTCTAACTACTAGTCGATCCTTTAAATAAACTTATTCTAAAAGGTTACCAATATTCAACACTGTAATTAGATCATTGAATATTGTTTTAATTGGTATTAATATTGATTTTGTTCTCAGTAAATTAAAGCAAACTAAATATTATTGTTATATACATATACACATTCATGGATCTTCAATCTGTCGATACCTGCACTGCATTAGGTCTTGTTTTTCTCTGACTGTTTATGATATTTTACACTAAATCCATTGGCTGTTGGATGAGTACTGATTGATAATTTAGTCTTAGATGCATGATTTTTGTCGAGCCTGCAACTTTTGTCGCAGAAAGCTCGACATAGGGATGGTGATCCGGCGGCGGATTTTTAGAAGGTGGAAGACCTGGATGCTTCATACTTAGTATATAGATGCCTCATGTTACGAAGTTTCTGTCAGTCACATGTCCAATGTCCTTGACCTCATTTTCATGGTTCAGTGACTACTTGAAAAAAAGTTAAGATTTTTTGTAATGTTAAATTCTCTCTTATTATAAGTAATAGGATAACTATATTTGGTATGTGCGTACGTTGCAAGGTCCTCATGCCCGTCATACAGTTTTCACTTGACCTCGACCTCATTTCATGGATCAGTGAACAAGGTTAAGTTTTGGTGGTCAAGTCCATATCTTAGATACTATAAGCAATAGGTCTAGTATATTTGGTGTATGGAAGGACTGTAAGGTGTACATGTCCAACTAGCAGGTGTCATCTGACCGTGACCTCATTTTCATGGTTCAGTGGTTATAGTTAAGTTTTTGTGTTTTTATCTGTTTTTCATATACTGTATATATGCAATAGGTCTACTATATTTGGTGTATGGAATGATTGTAAGGTGTACATGTCTAGCTGGTAGGTGTCTCTGACCTTGATCTCATTTTCATGGTTCAGTGGTCAAAGTTCAGTTTTTGAATTTTGGTCTTTTTATCTAATACTATATGCAATAAGTCAACTATATTTGTTGTATGGAAATATTTTATGATCTATATATCAGTCGCTCAGATTTAATTTGACCTTGACCTCATTTTCACGGTTCATTGCTCAGTGTTAAGTTTTTGTGTTTTGGTCTTTTTTTCTTAAACTATAAGCAATATATTTGTTGTATGGAAGAATTGTTAGCTGTACGTGTCTGCCTGGCATGGTTCATCTGACCTTGACCTCATTTTCATGGTTCATTGGTCAATTTTTAGTTTTCTGGGTTAATGTTAAGTTTATGTGACATTTTTTAGAAAGCTTTATATTTAGGACTATCAACATAATATCAATGATTAGTAAAGAAGGCGAGACATTTCAGCGTGTGCACTCTTGTTTTAATAGGTTGTTAGCGGCTTTTAACTACCTGTCAGTAACTGCGAGTATCTAAGATCTGTACTTAGTTTCCTTATGTTGTTGGAATATACAAGTACGGCCACTTCCAACCTGTGTTTTTGTTAGATGTATTTTTATTTGTATCCATCTGATGAGCTAAACCTTTTTCAACTGATTTTTATAGTTCGTTCTTATGTTGTACTGTTACACCACTGTTCCAGGTAAGGGGAGAGTTGGGATTTCGTTAACATGTTTAACCCAGCCACATTCTGTATGTATGTGCCTGTCCAAAGTCAGGAGCCTGTAATTCTGTGGTTATCGCTTGTTGGTGTGTTACATATTTGTTTTTCGTTCATTTTTTTTGGTACATAAATTAGGCCTTTAGTTTTCTTGTTTGAATTGTTTTAACATTTGTCATTTCGGGAACTTTCATAGCTGACTATGCGGTATGGGCTTTGCTCATTATTGAAGGCCGTACGGTGACCTATAGCTATTACTTTCTGTGTCATCTCTTGTGGAGAGTTGTCTCATTGGCAATCATACCACATCTTCTTTTTATACGCCCGTCAAAATTTTGACGGGACGTATTATGGTATACAAATGTCCGGCGTCCGTCTGTCCATCGTCCGGCGTAAGTTTTCGTTCTTTCTTGCTGTGTGGAAAAAAAATCTCAAACAAGAAAAATTGTTCCAAAGTTTTTATAATCTATTGTTCATGAACAATGTAAAATGCTTTTTTTAAAGGCGATTTATTTATGAAAGACAAACTATGAATCGTATAAATGAGCTTTGATTTAGGGACGACATCAAAAGATCAATGTAAGATAAAAAAAAAAAAACTTAATTCAAATATTTGGGGGTGGGGTAAAAAGTGCTGCAAGTTTTGTTTATTTGACATCGATTTTACATATATCTGTATTGGTCAATCAACTTGATTTTTCCCAAATTAAGTTAAGAGGGGGTTGGGGTCAGTGAAAAAACTATGTGAATTAAGTTTGTTTATCCTACATTGAATCTTTTGGTGTCGTCCCTTATTGTCCTGTGAATTTTTATCCATGACTTAATTCAGGCAAATTTTTTGCCTTTCTTGCACTGTTGAAAATAAGGACAGAGGGACATCGGATACAAATACTGTTAGTATTAAATCGCACTGATAGCAGTTACAAAATTTTAGATAAGTGAAAATAAGTTGAAATATGAAAGAAAACTTTCAAATAAGTATTACTCCTAAACACACATAAAAAGGGAGACCCACTATAAAAGCGCTTGCGACCTAACTCACTTCATGATGATGTCTTTAGTTGTTGCAATTGATAAATCTTCACTTATCAATGAGAGAGAGAGCTCTACTTATCAATAAAAATATATTTTAACTGTTGAATGACTTATTCTTCAATTATTTAGTCTTAGAATTTATATCTTTAATTTTCACCAATTGTCTAAATTTGATTTATTGAACCTTTTTGTCTGCTTACGCCTTACCTAACTAAAGATGATTGAGATATGTTTAGCCGTTTTTGCATAAAACATCTAAAAAATTAAAAACATCTAGCTTGTAAGTTATTTCTTCAAAGACATATATAGCATCATTTTAAAGCAAACTTGTTTGTCCAAGGCATAAATGAATGATTGTACTGAAATGAATGAATATATATATAACCTATTGTTAGAAAGCTGGACAAACTTCTGTTTGCTGGTGTTTATATGTTTATAAAAACACAGCTGGTATTATGCCATATAGTTTCATTACTAATAGTGATTAAAATGCGTAATCTACGGTTCGGTACCAATTTCGTCGTCAGTGCTAATGAGAATATTAAATTTCTTGGTAACAAGAATGTCATATAACCTCCTAGATGGTATTTTTTAAGATATATGAACATCACAACTCGTGAGATACGTTTTATGAGTGTTTGTTAAAAAATGTCATTCAAGATTAATTAACAAAAATTATGGATTTTTTCCCTAATTTTTCAAAATAATTTCCTCTTCGTACATTGATTTATAATCTCGACGCGGTTTTGATCTCAATATCATAGCCCTTTTAAAGACCACTAATTCAATCGTAATTTATAACTCCCGTGAAGACGCGAATTTATTTTTATCAGAGACATGTCTCTGTTTTATTTAACAAGATTAGTAAATGCAACGACGTCTATTGGAAGTAGCCTGGCATCCTGACCCAATCTAATACTTCGTCTACTGTCAAGCAGTGAGCCAGGATCCCAGGCTACTATTGGAAGGAGTTAAGAGTTATCGTTAATTATCACTGTCCAATTTAAATAAAAATTTCCTATATACCTTTATATAAGGTATATAGGGGAAAAATTCTGAGACAAGTGCCTGTGCTTCTCCCTCCGACCATAGATATAATAGCCATAGCTATGGCTAGTATATCTATGCTCCGACCATAGATATAATCCATGAGCTCATGACCCAAATCCGGAAAACCATCTCCTTATATTTACATAACCGTCAATGTTTCGATTATTATACCAAAATAAAGCGGGAAAGACAACAGAAAATGACAACAAAACTAAAACAAAACATAACAGGTGCATTTAAGATGCACGGGTTTACTCTTCGGAGGTGAGTAAAAATGGACACGTACAAAAATTACTGTCCTCGATGATTGGCGCTGTCACCAGCATTGGAACACCCCCTTTTCTTTAATTGATTAAAAAGGGGGGATGGACGATATACATGTATTACTAGTACTACTAGGTAAACTCTGCTTGGCCTGATTCTTCAACTAGACATGAGTGTACAGTGGCGGATCCAGAAATGTTCTTTAAGGGGGCCATTGACTAGCTAAGAGCTATAAAGAGGGGCCCTGTGCCAGTCATGATCTTAACTTTTTTTTAACTTAAAAGGGGAAAAATTCATTATATTTTGAACAACTTTTCTAAAAGAAGGGTCCACTTAGTGTTAATAATAAAGAAGATATAAGTCCATGAATATTACAATATGGACACAGACGTCTGGCAAGTAGATTCACCTTACTACTTGTCTGACACTGGGAATAGTATATCTAACGGGAAATGAATCTGATAGGCTTTTCAGTATAACATTGATAAAATCTCAGACTCCATGAGACTTCGCGAGATTTATGGATTTTGGTGGCGTCTGACTGAAAAACTATCGGAACTGCTCAATAAATTCACCACATAAGTCTAATCAAAATATATACAAGTTTTATCATAAAGTAGATACATTTTGTCATATAAAATGACCAAAATAAGTGTGATTTATTTGATGTGAAGTGTTTTATAATGTTTTTGAATTTGGGAAGGCAATCAGTGCCATTTTTTTATTGCCGTTTACATTCTGTACCATTCTGTGATAAAATGAATGCGATTATAGCATATTTGAAGTGACAGAATACAAGTTTGATACACTGGCATCACTGTAAAACTAGTTTGAATGACATTTTATTGATATTATCAGAAATTATTGGGATAATAGCGAGTACGTTTTTAACACATGTCCGTTTCCGTATCGTATCTTTATTACCTATGACCCAACGATAAAATCGGCTACAATTAGGTAGTGTCAAGTCCCGTCAATATATATGTTCCTGTCTGACGGGACAAGTGAACATGGTGAAAAAAACGATGTCAGATGTAAAATATGTAGAGAAGATTAAGAGACTGATTAACGCAGCTTATGACGTTTGTAAATCTGAGTGTCCATTTACTGATTATTCAAAACTGATAGTGCTGCAAGAAAAGAATGGGCTGGATATGGGAAACTTTTACAGAAGTGATAATGCATGTAAAAGGTAAAAAAAATGAAAGAAATTTGGACAAGTCGATGATATAGATTTATGAAGTGGACATGAACTTGTAATGACGTTTCAATAAAGAAGATGTATGATTTCTTTACACAGTTAGAGCTGAATTAAAATCTAATCTTGATATTTATAACATTGAATGTATTAGAACATTGAGATAAGGTTTTAATCTAGCAAAACAATCTGACATGAATGAGTCATAATAAGTTTCTGTCTCGCTCTGCCTGATCATTTATTGTGCCTAATATCATTTTATCATTTACATGACTGGTGCTTCATGAGGAGCAGGATATGTTTACCCTTTTGGAGGACCTGAGATCACACCCAGCTTTATGTGGGTTCCTGTCTTAAGTTTTTATTTTGTGTTTTGTATATTGTTGTTTGTCTTTTTGGTCTTTTTGGATTTTTGACATGACGTTGTCATGATCAGTTTATTTTCGACTTTTAATCTTAAAAGTCCCTTTCCGTTTGGTATCTTTCGACTCTCTTTAACTGTCTGCTGCAGATGCATAAGTAACAATTAATAAAGAGGGGGTGCGAAGGGGGTGGGTGTGGGATGGGCTCTCCCCTCCAACAGATTATATTTTTTTTTAAAATGAGTAAGCCAATTTCAGGGTTATATGCGTTTAAGAACGTCAAATACATGATCAAATACATGAATATCCATACTCTTCCAACACGCTTTTAAACGGTTATTTGGCTGATATTTACTTGAGGAAAACGTATAAACCATAGATCGCACTGAAGGTACTATTTATTTAAGGAATGACTGTAATATTTTTCTGTCTATGTAGAAATAACATAAAAAATGTGGTGCACACTGGATAACCCACATAGTGGGTTATTTAAAAGTGTGCACCACATTTTTTAGGTTATTTCGAATAGACAGAAAAAATATTACAGTCATTCCTTATAATATAATTTTAAAAAGGAGTAAATCATGATATAAACGTTGATGACGTCACGGTCACATGACAAAATTATGTCTATGAGCTGATAGACAAAACACTTTCAGCCAATCAGAAGAAGTGTTACATCCAAAATTAAATTATTTCAACATATTATTGGCTTAAATCAATATAACAGTGATAAAGTTCAAAGTCAACTTTACAATTTCATACATATGATAACGACAGAGACCATGCACACATCACCTTTGTTGTGCAATTATTCCGGATAAAATATAGCAATACATTCTTGGTCATTCTTATATATATACACATAGACCTACTTAATTGTATAAATCATGCTCTGTTTGGAGATTTTAAAGACGACATGGCTTCATATGTCTTTCAAGTTTACTTTTATTATAAACACATCATGTGGTCATAATAAAAGTAAACTAAAAAGACAAATTTTATGAATGAACTACGTGTATCTTATTAAAATATAATGGATTATAAGAAACAGTTAAAATAGCATCTATTAAAAAATCTTGAAAAACATAGTTGATTCTCTCTCTGAAAAAATCAATTTTAGATTTTGTCCTTGGACAGATTCATGATTAGCTTGGCTAGGGGACAGTACGGATCCTACAAATCTTAGTTTAACCCCATCGCATTTATATGCGCACGTCCCTGGCAAGTCAGGAGTGTTTTGGTCATTGTTGTGTCATTTAATTTTTCTAAGTTTTAGAAGAGGAATACCAACGATACAAGAAACGTATTTAATAAGATTTTGGGGCATTATGCTGTGCTCTTGGGTTTAATTGTTCTTGTTTTGTTTGGGGCCATACAGAACTGTTTGTTTGTGAGTGGGAAGTTCCTGCTCTATTGAAAAAGTTCTTGTTGCCAGTTCTAGACTACTTTTTGTGTTACATTTAGTGAATAGAGGAATGTCTTCGTGCCATTGACCCATGTTCGTTCTTTTTCATACGTTATGATAACATTACTAATTGTAAGTTCCGATCAAAACCAGCTGACAGTGCGAGAAAAAGTTGTTGAACATTTCCAATTGAAGAAAAAAAACAACAAACAATTCCAAGTAGCCAGAAAAATGTAATTTGCCGATTCTATAAATAATAACAAAGATGATCTCTCAATCTGTATCATAGGTGTCCTATTCTATGGCAGCATGATCACGGTAACCCGTGGAAGTGCTCATTCGTGCCTGAAAATTATTATTACTTTTTTTTTTAAAGAGGGGCTGCGATCGCACCCGAAGCACCCCCCCTTCCGACGGCCTTGAAACTGATGTGAATTTCTTCACTATTCGAATAGATGGCGCCACTGATGTTTCTGTTACCAAAAATGAGTTGATTTCTATCAGATTACTACAAGATGAAATTCCTGCAAACAAATAATTTAGTATTGAAGATGTTAAAAGTGCTGATTCTGCAGGTGTTTTGAACAGTATGAATGAGGCATTTGATCGACATGGGTTGCCAGACTGGAAAGAAAAGCTTATTGGATTTGGATCAGATGGCGCATCAGTTAACTTGGGAAACCGTTCAGGAGTTGCCAAGCAGATCAAAAATGAAGTTCCCCATCTCATCATAACTCACTATGTTGCCCACCATCTAGAACTTGCATCCAACAATGCTATAAAGTATCACAAGATCATGCGGGAGATACAAGACATTCTGCAACATATGTACAAACATTACCATTACTCTCCAAAAGCCCTTCGAGAATTGAGAAAATTGGTTGAAGCACTTTAAGAAAAGATTTTGAAACCTACAAACCTGTCTGGGACACGTTGGCTTCCATTTATTGAGAGTGCTCTGCATGTCTTGGTTGTTGACGTTAGTGTAATTTTGGCTTATTTTGAACATGTTGTTGAATCTCGAACTGGTTCTGCTGAAGTCCAAGGACGAGCTCAATTCATTAGCATGATTAGCAAGAAGCTGGAAGAGTATAAGTTTCTATACCTTACCTTTTTTGTCTTGGATATTTTAAAGGTGTTAAATATTCCTAGTAAAACCATGCAGAGAGACGATTTGACATTGTCACAACTAATTGATGCCCTCACAACAGCTCATCTTTCTCTTGCAGAGTTACGCAGAACCAATGGAGATCAGTTGTCAAATTTCCTGTCTGAAATTGAAGGCGAAACTTTTCGCCTCATTAGTCTGAAAAATGTCCAGCATGGAGAAAATTATGCAACTATTAAACAAGAGATGCTGGACCTTATGTGCAAAGCTTTGGATGACAGATTTAGATCAACTGAAAAAGTTTCATTGTTGCTTGCTGCTGCAAAATTAACAGACTTTAATGACTGGCCGAAAGATATTCAAAACTTGGCAACATTTGGACAAGAACAGCTGAACCTGCTTCTTCAACATTTTCAGGACATTCTCAACAGAAGTGGTTGTGTCCTGGAAATTATCAAAAATGAATGGACTGATTTCAAAGTGTACATCTACAGACACAAATCAACAGACATCAGCACATTTTTTATTAATGACAATCTTAAAACTAGATTCAAGAATCTGTTGTCCTTGCTGGAGATCATACAGGTATTTCCGTGTCTTCTGAATCTTGTGAGCGTGGATTTTTGGCTATGAAGCGTATAAAATCAGACTGGAGGAGTTCGCTAAAACCAGACATGTTGCAGCGACTTATGTTCATTGCCATTGAAGGCCCATCAGTCCCAGATTTCAATGTGGATTCAGTTTTCACAAGGTGGTTGTCCACAGGAAGACCAAAGCATCCTGGGTTTAACCCATATGACTACAGAATGGATAGATTCATTAGAGAACCCAGTGCCTGTGATTTGGGAAGTGATGATGATTAAACAATCGACATGATAGTGACATTGAGTCAGAGAACTCAGTCTGAAAAAATAAAAGGATTTTTGATGTAGTATTTTTTATTTAGTTACAAACAAATTCATATAGCATAACAAATTGCTCCCTTCATTAGGTATGCTCAAAGCTCAAGTGTTATTGGTGCATATCATCAATATGTAAGTTTTTCAATTTTGAATTCAGACAAGTGAGTTAAGAGTTCGGACAAGTTGATTTTCTTGCAACTTGCCCAAAGTGACAAGTTGGAAAAAACGATAATGTAGTGGCCTGCAAACTAAACTGAACTTTAGAAAATGAAAAGGCTCTCCAGAGAATATGTTTGTATTTGTCTTTAATATACACGGACAAAAAATATAGCTTGATATGTAAATGTTTGTGATAGGCCTATGACATTTTATGACAGCAGGAAAATCAATAAAGTTCTGCTTTTTAAATCATCAATATTTTGAGTTTTCTAATGTTTATAGAAATTTGTTTCTTCATCACCAGTCAGATTTCAACAGAAAAGCATAATGATATTTCATGAAACAACTATCATGAGGTGAAACAAAAAGCCCAATTTACAGCCGATTTCATTGAGTGTGTAGGAAAAGGTAAAATCTTTGGTTAGCTTGCTTGCTAGCTGAAGCGTGAAGTCATTATTAGGTTGGGTAAACTACCCTCCTTCATGAGTAGACTAGTCCGACAGACAGATAGAATTGGTTATCTGTGGGACTAGTCTACTCATAAAGGAGGGTAGTTTACCTAACCTTATAATGACTTCACGGTTCAGCTAACAAGCAAGCTAACCAAAGATAATACCTATTCCTACACACTCAATGAAATCGGCTGTAAATAAAAACATTGGAAAGGTATCAAACTTTGCAATTTAGTTAAAGTTAAGCTTAGGAAGGAAGATCTGCCAGGCCTTCAACAAATCAGAGAGAGAATTCTATGTTTAAAGTTGATAATGAAACCATGCCAATCTATGTAATTTGAAATGTTATTCAATCTAGAGGAGCTTGACAACTCAATTATTAAAAGGCCACATTAATCGTCATCACTTAATTACAAGATGAAATTATTAATTTTCAGTTTGAGACATGTCAGATATAATTATTAATATAATACGGAAACCAGACTTTGCTATAATGGTAGATTTAATATACAAGTTAACATATTTTCATTGCAGTGAAGCCAGTAAATATTTAGTAGATGTTTTAAACCTAATCAATGAAGTACAAAGAGAAGATTGTTTAGATAAAATAATAGAATCTGTCCAGAAGCAGCAATGTAAGTGTATATTCTCTATCCCTTGTGGCCTGTTATCTGTTTCCTGCACAAAGAGATATGTCAAGTGTCACGCTTAACGTAGTGTGATATAAATAAAAAGTGAAAAAAATGTTTTAATTTGATTGGTCTATCCTGCAATGTGATACATAATTGCAGCATTTCCATCGGATATTCCTTTGGTCAATGATGCCTTCACAATCACAACTAACACGACTAACTTCTTTTCTTCTGAGGCAACTTCTTCAATAATGTACAAAACACTCATTTTTAGGCAGTTAAGCTGCCTTATGCGAGCACCCTAGATTTTTGTTCTACCCAATAAATGCTGAAATACGTGCCATTGTTATTATCTAGCTGGATATAATGTTATTTATAACTAATTGAATAGTTTTTTCATACTTTTAATTCTGGATTACAAAAATATGACCAGAAAAAACCTTAAATGATCGTCGAACCACCCAAAAGTTTTGAAGTTGCACATAGGAAGTAGAGCACATTAGGAATCCTTATGTAGTTTATTATTCCCTGTGCTTTTGGCTAAGATGTCAAAGAACAATTGTATGAAATATTTAATCGCCGAAAATCTTTAAAGACAAGTAGTTTAGATTTCCCAAATGGCAAAAGTCGTAGGAATATTGTTTGTCGTCAATACGTGGTACAACTACGTCAGTAGTCTATTAATAAGTTCAACTGTTCATGCTGTTGGCGGCAATTTCAAATTAGAAGACGAAATTTTCGTATCATTTCAATTTGGAGGCAGGGGTTCAAATTAGCGGTGGTCCGAGGTCCGCGACCTTCCACTTTTGCAATCGGACTCTCGACTTGGTTACTAGCTACGCCCGACGGACCTTTCACTTGAAAGAAATTAAAAATAACTTTGCAAACCTTTTTACCAAAGTCTCTAAATAAACGATCTCAAAACGTATTTTCATCTTTATTATTCATAACAGCGATGTTCATTTTGTTCAACCGCTAGCTTTATACAGATAATCGCCGACAAGTAATGTGTAAATTCGAGTAAAATCGTATCTGACTGACAAAAACAACATCGAAAAACAATGGATACCGTGTAGACAATTACAATATCGGGTCCGATTCCGGAAGCGGATAAGGGTAATTCCGGGTTTTGGAGATCAACTACAAAAAAAAAAATTTCAGGCAGGTGACAAAATACATCTATGCATGGTAAATAAATATAAACACTAGAAATGGAAACCAAAAGATATATGTAAAAGAAAGAAAAAGCAAAAAATATTTGATACAGAAACTCAAAATTACTTTCTGACAAATTTTAATGTCCAAATCCAATACAATGTGACAGCTGGGAACAGTATATCTAACAATATATATGTTCCTGGTGACAGCATAAATCTTCTTTATCAGTGATAAATGTTGATAATGCATGTAAGATGCTTTTAAAGTGTAAACATATTACTGCAATTTTTTTCTCAATTTTGAAGGGTCAGTTAAAATAGCTGGAAGTTTCTTACTTTGTTTTCACAAATAGTGCAACTAGATTATATGATACCTGAATGTAAGCAAATCATATGATATATAGGTGGAATCCTTTGGGTCACTCTACCCCCTCCTGTTTGATAACTTTGAAACGGATGAGATCCCCACTCCTAAACCATACATATTCATGTATGGGACTATATAACTAATCAAATGAAATATGGGGGGAAGTCCCTAGGGTTACCCCACCCCTCCTGTTTGAGAACTTGGAAACAGTCGAGATCCCCACCCCTAAACCATATATATTCATGTATGGGACAATATAACTAATCAAATGAAATACAGGGGAGTCCCTGGGGTCACCCCAACCCTCCTGTTTGGGAACTTTGAAATGGTCGAGATCCCCACCCCTAAACCAAATATATTCATGTATGGGACAATATAATAAATCAAATGAAATAAAGAGGGAGTCCCTGCGGTCACCCCACCCCTCCTGTTTGAGAATTTGGAAACGGTCAAGATCCCAAGACAAGACAAGACAATTTATTTAAACTTAAGCACACGTATGGTGCTACAAGAGGATAACAATTATACATTAACAATTACATATATACTTATACATTTACAAGCAAGACACACAATAAATAAATAAGTGATATCATACAATAAAATTGAAATAAACCATATTTGGTTGATTTGTTTGCAAAATTCTTAATTGCAACGTGGATATGAAGTTATTGTAACATGCTTTGTATTATGAAAATATTTTTTCAATATGTCTTAGAAACATGCACACTTTTGTTAGCAGTGGCACGTTACAGTGTGATAATAGACCAGTAAGTTTCAATTGGGAAGGATTTTGTGTGTAATATGTAGGTATATACCTTTCTCTTAAAGACATAATTTGTTCATTGGAGCATACAAAAAAATAATGATCCCATAAACCATACATATTCATGTATGTGACAATATAACAAATGAAATGAAATATAGGGGGAGTCCTTGGGGGTCACCCCACCCCTCCTGTTTGAGAACTTGGAAACGGTCGAGATCCCCACCCCTTAACCATATATATTCATGTATGGGACAATATAACAAATCATATGAAATATAGGTTGAGTGCTTGGGGCCACTCTACCCCTTCCTGTTTGAGAATTTGAAAACGGTCGAGATCCCCACCCTAAACCATATATATTCATGTATGGGACAATATAACATATCAAATGAAATATAGGGGCAGCTCCTATGGTCACTGTAAACCATCCTGTTTGAGAACTTGGAAACGGTCGAGATCCTCACCCCGAAACCATATATATTCATGTATGGGACTATATAACAAATCAAATGAAATATAGGGGAGTCCCTGCAGTCACCCCACCCCTCCTGTTTGAGAACTTGGAAACAGTCGAGATCCCGACCTCTAAATTAAACCATATATATTCATGTATGGGACAGCAGAACTTATCAAATGAAATATTGTCCTGTTTGATAACTTGGAAACAGATGAGATCCCCACCCCTAAACCATATATACTCATGTATTTGGCAATATAACAAATCAAATGAAATATAGGGGAAGTCACTGGGGTCACCCCACCCCCTCCTGTTTGAAAACTTGATAACGGCCGAGATCCCCACCCCTAAACCATATATATATTCATGTATGGGACAACATAAAAAATCAAATGAAATATAGGGGTAGTCCCTAAGGTCACCCCATCCCCTTTTGTGTGTGTTTTAAGAACTTGTAAAAGTTTGAGATACCAACTCCTAAACCATATTCATTCCTGTTCGTCATTTCAAACAGATTTGAATGACATACAAGGTCAATCTCATAGGCATCACATATGCATATCACTTTACTAGACCTAATCAATGTGTACTAGACTTTGCCCAATGTCAGGCGACCATGGGAATGAATAATTATGGGAGCTTTGTTTGGGAGACTTCGTAACAGCATTCTGTTACAATTATTTCTTGTTTATTATAAAATTTTATTGAAGCAAAAAATGAGTAGGTTTAAAGAATTTACCTTAATTATATTTTGAATAATTTCTGGTTCTATAAAAAATTTCATTTTAATATGGCTCATTTTAAAGAAAACATATCTTTCAAGCCCAAGAATGTTTGACCAACTTTATTATAATCACCTGTCATTTTATTCCAAACTTAGACATCATGGACTTGGGGTGAAGGCGGGGGTTATTTACATTTACTATGGGCAGGTCAGTCAGACCTCACCTTTGATCCCCGTAGTAGTAAACATTTGTCTGATTTGTGTCTCATAACTTTTGCACTGTAGAACACAAACTCAGTTTTCTTTCCAGGGAAGCAAGTCCATGCATACTATTACAAGCTCGTACTAAGTCAACTTGAACTACTAACAGTCAACTAATACCAACACTAACTATCAACTAGAACAACTGCAATCATTTCGAACTTGTACCACTGCAGACACATGACCATTAAAAATATACTTGATATATGCATTGCTTTGGAAAACCTTGATAAAATATGAATTATTTGCCTTAATAATTAATTCATTAAATGAACATAAATGCACAATATATGAATGTTTAATGTTTGTTCTTTTAAATCTTAAAAAAAATGAAGCAACATAGCCACAGTTTTCATAATTATGTTTGCCTTGGTTTTTGGTTAACTGCCTACAGCGCTTACAGTGCTTTGATTTCTTTTTGTCAATGGCTCTTTCATTATATTGAAATTAAATAACGAGTTTATTTCCACTTCTGACTCATAAAGAAAACTACAATTCTCTTTAGTTCAGTGTAAGCATGTACATTTGTACCAGTAATGAGAAGCCTCCTTCAAGGCAGTCAGTCGATAAATTTTGAATATGAGTAAAGTTGAATCAGAAATTTTAAGGAATTAAGTGAACTTCTATGAATATAGAAAATTAGTCAAATTGAGATATTTTTTAGAGAAAGTGTAATTTAAAAAAAAAAACAATTAAAAAATTGGGGTTGGTACATATATGTGTAAATAGGAATCACCCTGACTGTCTGTCTGTCCTTGTTCCTTTTCACCACAACTAAGCACATAGACAAAACTTTACACACTTGTAGAACATAGCAGACCCTAGATGTTTATAGGATATCAATCATGAATGATTAAAAAGTAGAGGAGGACTGAGACTAAGACAAAATAAACAACTCTTATGTTATATTTTATGATGGTATGATACTAAACCCCTATCGGGAGGGATTGTACTTGATTTTCATATGATGAAGACATAATCTTTCAATCAGTTTAATTGAGGTGGTCTGGAACTGGCATGTCAGTAATTGCTAGAAGTCCTTTGTTAATTTATGTATCATTGTCATTTTGCTTAGTTTCTTTTGCTACCTATTCATTTTCCCTGAACTAGTACACAATTTTATTTAGGGACCAGCTGAGGACCACCTCTGGGTGCTGGATTTTCTTGCTGCGTTGAAGACCCATTGGTGGCCTTTGGCTGTTGTCTGCTCTTTGGTCGGGTTGTTGTCCCTTTGACATATTCCCCATTTCCATTCTTAATTTTATCTATCCATCTGTGACACTTATTCTGTCAACCAAGTTATGACGATGTCTATAAAAATCATGGCTAACATAATTAAATAGACTGTTAAAGGGAAAAAAAATCTTTCATAAATAAAGTTTGCGGGAAACTTGTCAATTTACATGAGCTTTATACACAAGCTGATTTAGTTATAAATGTGTTGCTGGTTGTAGTAAGTCACCGTGAAATTGGATGATTTTTAATGATTTGGTGTAATAACACTGACATATGACACTGTCACATGAAAATTTAACCAATCAAAAGAATCGCTCTGTTTTCACTGTGAAATATCATCATCAAGAGTGACTTTGAACTTAATCCAATTGTGAATGATGTAGTAATGTTGCAAAATATATATATAACTATATATAAATTGTATTTAATTTTTTTTTATTGTATTTTTAATTGATATTGTATGGTTCTCTGTAAAACTTGTACTTTTGTTTTTAGAGAAAAAATATCTATCTAAAAGATCTTAATTTGAATATAAAGCATTTTAATGTACATGTATACTGGTAGAGATGTGTCATACATGATTTTTTTTTCTTTCTTTCAGTATCTTCAACATTGATAGACAGATCTGTGTGTGAACAAGCTGTACAGGAATGTAACACAGATCAAGATGAGAGGTTTGTTGTTGAAAGTAATGGACTTTTCATTGTTCCAAGTATATATATAATGAAACTTGCTCATCTTGTACCTTAGTTGTCTACTCTTAGAATTGTAAACGTACTGCACTTGAAACATACAGCACAATCTTTGATAGCGAATTATACTGCACAGTTTGATAGCTCACAAAATTTGACCTTAAAATTACTTTAAAATCACTGATAATCCAGGTTTAAAGTTAAAAGTAAAAGAATAATGTGGATGCCACTTACAGTTCAAAACAGTTTTACTGAAATAATTTCTTTAAACAGACATTTCATAGGATTCCAAAATTTAGAGTTGTCAAGGCATTCCAAAAAGTTATAGTTTATTTTCAGATAAAATGCAAAATCTGACTGAAAAACTCCCCTCTGTGACAACGTTAAAATAATGCATAGAAACACGTCAGTTCTGATTTAATTCATAATATAATTTATAAGAATTGAATGCTTCTTTTTGTAATTTAAAAGGTTTGTAAAAGTGTCTTTGGTCGGGTTGTTGTCTCTTTGACATATTCCCCATTTCCATTCTCAATTTCATTTCATACAAAACGTACAAAAAAGAAGCAGCAAATTCTTAAGTAATAACTGTTGGACCAACTTGTTAGATGCATTGTCATTATTTTGGTTAGTATAGATAATAATGTACTATATTCATGATATTGAATTCTTTTTACCATCAGCATGTCAAGGAGTATTTATCTGTATAAGGGATATCAATAGTTGTTTATCATAAGACATTTATCGGTAATTCCTAAGTTTTTGAAAGCAATTACCATTAAGCCTTTTACTGAAATAGGTACCTAAACAATGCTATATTTAGGTTTGTTCAAATAGGTTCTTTAGTCTGATCAATTCAGTGTTTTGATGCAACCATAAATTTTATTTTATAGTGATAATGTATTTGGAGTCATTGATGCCTTTGCTGTTCCAAGATTTACATATGTAACAGACCGGAAGAAGTTTATTGAGTAAGTAAAATACATCTCACAACTTATAGTTTCTTTCTACCAGGTTTTTATATCTACAGAACTTCAAAGATAATATGTATTCTTTAATACTTTGCATATTTGAATTAATATAAGGGACATGGTTTCATTCTATGAGCTTTGCTCACAGTACCTCTAGTTTTCAATGTAAAAGGTTAAAGGGGGAGTTGAAGTTAATGTCCTATTTTAAAACTACATCAAAACCATGTCAACAGAAACACTGCTAATTTCTCAATTGTTAAATCTGTGTCCTTATTTCGACTATCAATTGAATTAAAAGTCAGAACATCTTAGGTGTTATTACTAAATAGATTCACAAATTATGTATTTGAAAGTCACAAAAATAAAAATACAGATATTTTTTAAACATATGGGATGCAAAGGCATGCTCTGCTGTGTAAAACCTTTGTTCATATTTTCTGTGGTAAAACTATTTTCTCTTATGTTTTCATGCTTTAAAAAGATTGCTTTTATTCTTTACACATTTGTATCTTGTGAAATTTGATATAGTATCTTAAATACTATTTTATAAATGCTTCATTTGAATGAATTTCATGATTCATATTTTAGGAGTGACACAGTAGGTATTCCATCTCCTTGTCTTCATGGAACAGCTGAGGATAAAAATAGATTATTCACAAATAAATACACCATGTTATTACAGGTAAATATGAGTATTTACAAAGTGATATCTTGGGCATGCTACATCTAGATTGTTTTCTTTGCTGCCTCCTTTCCATCCCTAACACATTTAATGGACATGTATGGTTAAGTTCAGACAATTTTTAACACTGTCAAAGAACAGAACATTTCAATGTATAGTCTTCATGGTCTTAGGTGAAATATTTTTCAAAACTAAACTTTTAAAACTTTTTACATACTCTATTATTTATTTTTTCAAGCAAGTTGACAGGAAATCAGTATTTATTTTGTATTGGCCTTACTAGTTTGAACTACAAAATGTATGATTCACTGAGTCTTGAAATTTGGTATCAAGCTTTATGTAAACATTATTTTAATAGAGTGTAATATGTTTTCACCTATTAGGCTTATCAACTTCCTCAATAACAAATACTTATAGCAGGGGCATCAAAAGTGAGCTTTAGCTCACAGTTTGTTCAACTTGTGATTAAAATAGAGAATGTGTCAAAGAGACAACAAACAAACCAAAGAGCAGAAAACATTTCAAGGCCACCAATTGGTCTTCAACACAGCGAGAAAAAGATAATTACCATAAATGCTGTCCTTTTTGATTCATAAATCACTTAAGGTTATTATAGGTTATTCCAAGAAATGTTTGTATGAGAAAGTTAGTAACCATCTCAATGGGAATTAAACACATTATTCTCACTTTCACTATTTTAGAGAACACAGAGACATGATCTTTTTACACCACCAGTTATCGGAGCTCAAATGGACCAAAATTCAAAAAAGTTTCAGGTAATGAGAAAAATTTACTGTAAACATATTTTATTAAAGAAATCGTTATATATATAGCTACAAGGGTAAAGACCTAAATACGAAATATACAAAAGATCAATAATTGGGATTAGGAAACAAAAGCAGTGCTCTTATATAAATCTGTCTCCCTAAATTCAAAAATAAAATTACAAGCTATGAATACATGCTGAATAGCAAACGAATAAATATGTAACAATATACAGTAAATGAATACTATAACAACCTTTGCTATATATTTTTCTTATGAATTTTCCTTTTGTTATTGAAAAATTTATGTAACAAATATGTAGAAAAGGAGACAACAACTTAATAACATTAACTACCAAAAACATTACTGATCTAGAGGTCAATATACCATCTTCAACAAAAAATGTGTGTCTATACTAGGGATGTCAACTCGGTGAAGATTTACTAATCGTGTACTCGTTGGATTTACCGAGCGATACTCGAGTACTCGCTCGGAAAAACATCTACAAAATGGAAACACACAATTATACCCATTTTACGTATTGTGGGACGTTGTCTTATGGACATAAAACCCTCAACATTATTACCCAGGACTAGATAATAGTCCAAAGAATTTTAAACCACAATTAATAGCTCATTTACTACATGTACTAATTATGTAAATTGGCAATAATATAATCAATTAATTAATAAACATCTATAGAAAAACGATTACTCAAACAATAGTATTTGGTAATCATAAAAAAACACATTTAATGACAAACAAAGAGGTGATGATTATAACTTGCTGATGCCTTTCACCATTTTATGAGGGTCGACACAGGGTGCAACGAATTTGTTCTTATTTAGAAATATTATCTTGTCAACTTTTCCTGTGACGAATCGATTTCTCAACATTGTTACGTAACTAACAGTCCTGTTAATGAAAATATTTGCTCTGATGGTACAGAGGAGATGGAATGACAAATACAAGATTAGCTAAAAGTGTAAGCCTTGGAAAAGTGCCTTTGTTCATAGCCTACCTATGTTCGGAGGAATTTTAAATGACAATGAAACGCAAACATTCGAAACGTAGTATAATTTTGATTAATATTTAATTTCCCGGGAGGCGCTCTTAATAAAAATATAATTTCTCTAAGAAGGAAACAACATTCTAACAGGAAACCGATTAGTCGAGTATCATTTTGGTATTCGATACTCTGTACTACCGAGCGATACTCGAGTACTCAAGTACTCGTTGACATCCCTAGTCTATACATATTTGAATCAAGCTCTAAGTAGCCCAGAGCCTGAAGAAATATTTTGACCAAAACTATTGAAGATTTGCCATCAACAACTGATTCTTCAAAAACATTCAGATACGACTATTTGATAAAAGGAATGGGTAAAAGTAAAACAGGAACATCAGCCCAACAAATCATCTACTAATAAACTATTTAGAGGGCAACATATACACTCTACCAGAATAGATCAGATTCTATACAATATATCAAGTCTCTAAATTAGACAACTGGTGACAAGTTTCTGAATCTGAACATGCACGTCAATGTTGTGTGGTACAACTAAGATTTTGCAGGTTTCAACCTCTTTTATATCGAAACACTTTCATCAAAATCTTTGTTCTATCAGTATAACATGACATTGAAAAATAGTGTGAGCAAATTATTTACACACATACTGATTCATGTCAAAACCTAATAGAAATATTAAGTTGTTAGAAAATGGTATTTTTTAATCAAACATTAATATTTCAAATCATGTTTTTAATGAGGAATTAATACAACCATATGAAAGGACAATAGACGTATTTACACTTGTATGCAAATTTGTCCGCCATTACGTAAAATCACACAGGTTCCCGTAAACTTTGACATCACAATTCAAAACATTTGACGTCACAATTAAAAAGTGATTGTTGCCTGACGTCAAAAGGTGATTCAGAGCAAAATATAGCTAAATACCAAAAGTGTGAATACGTTTATAATGTGCAGCATAGATTATCCTTTTTATAATATAAAGGATATATGTTCTGCTATGCATCTAATTAATACGCACATATTAGAATTACAAATACTGTGGATTCATTTATTTTCGTGGGTACCAATTTTCGTAGATTGAGGAAAACTTGCATTTTCGGTGATATTTAATTTGCTGGTTTTGGCAAAGTCTGCATATATTCCTTTGGGAAATTTGTTATTCTTTGAACATTTAAATTGGTGTTACCCCTGTATCTACGAAATCCACGAAAATTGGTATCCAACGAATATTAATGAATCCACAGTTGGTTGTAAAGTATGCAATAATAATCAATAATCTTTGTAGGTGCATTTGAATATTTATCATATTGTTCAATCTATTGTTATTTATTTTAGCTCAAACCCATAGAATACCTTCTTGGAAGTACAGCCAAACTTGGAGAAATTATTGTACTTGGAATGCTCACACAGCTCAAAGAGGTAAAAATGATTTGTTCATGGTCAACGAATTTCTGTCAGTCAGCTTTAATGCTTGGGAAAGCAATTTTTGACTTTAATTATAAATAAGAAGATTTGGTATGAGTGCCAATGAGACAACTCTCTATCCAAGTCGCAATGTATTAAAAGTAAACAATTATAAGTCAAAGTACTGCCTTCAACACGGAGCCTTGACTCAAATATAGATTCTGCCACAATACACTGTTGGTTATGATTATATCAAATCAAGACTTAAGATTTTCAAAAGTAAAAAATGTGGTTTGGAAAGTATGTAAAAGAAGGATGAATATCATAATTAATTTGATGAAGTGATAGAATATGTTTCTCTAATGATAAAATATTTAAAAGTTTAACTCTTGCATAATGTTTGGAATAACTTTGGTGATGAATCAGGTTTAAAGATTTAATCAGTATTGTATTTAATCAATTTTTTGACATGATTGGAACCAGTTTTAGTGTACAAGGAATTATAAATGTTTTTTCTTTACTTTTAGGGTAAATGGTATTTAGAAGATCCTACAGGAGTTGTACAGATAGATCTTTCAGAAGCTGTATCCTTCAATATATATATATATAACTTACTTTTGATGACTAGAAAGTAATACTTTGAGTTCATTTATTTTTGTGGATTAAGAAAAGCTTACATGTACGTGAATATATAATTTCGTGGTTTTGTCAGAGTCTGCATACAAGCCTTTAGAAAATTTGTTATTCTTTGAACATTAAATTTCGTGATTCACCTGTACCCACAAAATCAACGAAAAATTGGTATCCAACGAATAGTAATAAATCCACAGTACAATGGAATAAGAATTAGATTGCAATCAGCTGAATTATCTGTCTGTCAGTTTGTTCTTCAAATATTTTCTTCAAACTTTTCTGAGGAACTACAGTACAAATTATCTTCATATTTGGTCAGCAGCTTGACAGTGAGGTTTTGTAACCTGTAAACTATTTTCTGATCTGTCAGAGACCTACTTACTGTTTGAATGAAGAAGAAAAAGTAGGAATGCTTTTCTTAGAAACTACTAAAAAGAATGACCTCTTATTTAGTCATCAACTTGACAGTGAGATGGGTCACTCAGATACCTGTACTCTCTATTTTCAAATACTTTGAATTCAAGTTGGGTATATGCTAAATCGTTTAATGCCTGCATTCCTCTTAGTTTTAAAATGAAGTAGTTTATCACCAGGCTGGCCTGTTTTGAAGCTCATGTATTGCATAAATAAAAGTGCTTTAGATAAATATTTACTTAACATATTTGTCCAGAATTTTCAAAATGGTTTGTTTACAGAAAATTGTTTTGTGCTGGCTGAGGGATGGTATGAAGATAAAATATTCCACATCAATGCATTTGGTTTTCCACCGCCTGAACCAGCTAAAACTACAAGGTAAGGTTTTCAACATTAAAAACAATTTTATGAACCCTAGCTGCCTTATTTGGCATCTTATGTGTTTTTGATTGTCAGATGTATGTCTCACATGTCTGTATATATTCATAACTCAAATAACTAGCCTTGTGACATTGTGTGAAAAATTTTGATGTGGCAGATTCAGAAGTAAACAATTATTAGGCTGTTAGATCTCAATGCATAATTTAGTGATATTGATACTATTATACTTTTTATCTGTAAGTACTGTATTTTCATATGAAATATCATTTCACTAATAAAAATTGAATTAACAAAAAAATATTTATAGAACACTGCATTTCAAACATATTAGGCTTCTAAAAATTTTCAATTTTATTTATAAATTTCTGGGTCCTCGGTCCTAAAACTTTACGCAGTGCTGGGCGTTGAAAACTTGTGCTTGAAGCACCAATTACAGTATTTTGATAGGTTGACACTTGAGTCTTTGTACCATAATTGTAGTCAAAACCTTAAGCCTGCTTGCCCATTTAATAAGCACATGTAAACTTGTTTAATTTCTCTATTTTATGATCATAAATCTATTTCAGATCTTACTTTGGAAATATTAACTTTTTTGGTGGCTTTGGGAATCAATGTGCAAAAGCATCATCAAAACTTCGACAAATAGAACAAGACAATGAAGATGCCATGTTTGTTTTCTTATCTGATGTTTGGTTGGATCAGGTTAAGGTAGGTTTATCACCATCTTAGCGCTTATTTGAATTTGATTTGAAAACTTAGTTAAGTATAGAAAATTTACCATCATTTAAATAGTGATATTTTGGAGTTTATTGTTGTTTATGCAGTTCAGAAAGAAAAAAACCCTGATATTTCATTATATAAATAACACAGCTGAGAGGGTGATAGAGCAGATTGTTACCCCGAGAAAACATTGTCAACTGAGGCGAAGCCTCAGTTGACAATGTTTTTCAAGGGGTAACAATCTGTCTATCACCCTCTCAGCTATGTGTTATTTAATTTATTATACTGAATGTTCTGTTATTTTTATCTGGAAAAATATTGCAACTTTATATGAATTATATCATGATATACTTTGATAATTACCAACTTTCATTGGCATTTCTGTATAAGATAACGGAAATAAAGATATTGTCTCATGTACACATCTACCTGACATGTTATTTCAAATTTGATACATATTTCATATGAAATGGAGAAAATACAACAAGAAAACAGAAATATTTTTCATCAATTCTTTTAACAAGAGAAAAAACAAAGATCACATACATTTTGTATATAACTATATATATGAAACAATTCAACATAGAATTAAATTTAACTGTCTGTCGGAATAAAATTCAACAAAGAATAAAATTTAACAGTTACTGTTTAGTTGGTGAAACAATTCAATTTTGAAAATCATTTGTGAATGTTGAAATTGACCACACTGTTAGTAATATTAGGACATAAATTCATTGTGTGAGTGTTCCACTATGGCTGGACATTGTTCATGGACAGCTGAAAATTTGAAGAAACAGCTGGATGAGGTGAGTTTTCCTTGTTTTGGTTATCAGGAACACAAACATTTTGCGGCGCAACCGTAATATCCATAGGCATGATAGGAATTCCTTCCAATGTGTTTTCGTATGAAAATAAAGCTTCTATTTCAGCTGCACTGAGCCCAAGTAATGCCTGTGCTTCAGGTGTAGTCTCAGTTATATTGTGATCACCTTCAGACTGAAGTTCATGATTAATATTGTCACTTTGAAGCATATTATTTAAACTGTCAGACACCTCACGTTGCTTTTTTTTGCTTAGTTTCTTAGAATAACTACAGATAGAAGCTTCACACCAATGTCCACTGGCTCTCATTATGTGCCTAGCTTATATGCCTGCTTCATCCATTGCAGTAATGGATGTTGCACGTATAGAGTGATTCGTGTACCTTCTAGAAAGTTTAGCCTTCTCGGAAATTTCAGGCATCATTACTGCTAAACTGTTTTTCCCTATAGGAGCTTTACAATACCATGTTGTGTCACTTATATCAAAGGAATTCTTTGTGTGCTGCCATAAATCATTGAGAGTCGGGTGAAGTTTTTCAAAATACAATTTAAATGATAATACTGGACACAGAGGATCACCTACTCTTGCGTACATCCTTGCTTCACCGACGGTATCATCAGGGGTAGCTTCATCACGATGATTTTTATCATATTTATCTATTTGTTGATACACATACTCTCTTCCACTAGAATCTGTTTTAATAGCATATGTTTTTTTTTGTCATAGAACTCAAGTTTTCTTGGCCTCACCTACATAAATAGAACATTATGTCAAACCATACCTTTTTCTGTAAACCATAAGGTGTGATTGTGTTGATTGCAATACTATTAGTGTTATACAGCTTCTGTAGGTCCTCTTTAGAAATAGGGGGTTTGTAGTCAGTAGAGGCATACCCTTTTTTCTTTAAGTTAACGATGACTGCCTTGAACACATCATTTGAACCGGTGAATTGAACATCCTTTGTAATGTCTATGGAACAATGTTGTGTCAAATATTTTGACAATCCGTACCTATAATTAGTGATGGTAGACTTTTTCAAGTGATTCCCGTCAGTTTTTCGTAACGAAGCAAAAAACAGTCTCAGTTTTTCATTCAATTTTGATTTAGCAAATGTTTCAAATTCATTGTCTTCGCCGAGGAAACCACAGAAACTCTTTAAACTGTGTGCTATGCATCTTTTTGTTGACTTTGAGTCTTTTAACTCCAGTAAATCAGATATATCATCCTCTGAAACTTCAGCAAATATGTCGCCTGTTGTTTTTGTTTAAAATCTGTGTCATTTGAATCTTACAGCTATTTGCTTATCTTCGTTACTTTCAAGCGCACATGTGACAGTTATAAAACCTGGTTACTAATTGAAGAAACCAGTTGAGGCTCTGCACGAGAGGGTAACATTCAAAAAAATTGTCACCCACTCAGCTATGTGATAGAGTAAATTAATACCCTCGTATAAGCCAATCAAAATATTGCATTTTTACGTGAAGTATAATAAATGTATTTATTTAGTAACAGTAAAGCTTCTTTGTTATACATTTGTACCCACACTAAAAAGGAGGGGTATACTGTTTCATGTGTGCCCATCCTTTTGTCCATGTTCCTAAAGAGTGGCCATCTGTCCCATGAAATTTTATTCAAAATTTTCTCTGAAAATACAATCAAAGCTTCATGAAATTTGGGATCAAAATTCTTTGGACAGTGTGAAGCATTTCAGATAAATGAACAACTTAATATTTACTCAATACTAATCTGTAGAAGACCATGGGATAGACAATGCCTCAAATTACCTTTGTATCCAAGGTCAACATCTCATCGGCAAAGCTTTAGGTGGTATTAAGTGAATCGTCAAACTGATTAGCTGTAAGTGTTGTTTGTTATTATAAAATTAAACAATAAGAAATTGTCCCCACAACTAACAGTAGGGTTTTATTAGTGATTGGTGCTCACAGATTGTCTTGTTTCATTTTTATCTTATAAGCAACAAGTTGGATAAGATATTGCATGCACACCCTCACAATACCATGTTCTGTTTTACAGGTTATGGAGAAATTAAGAATATTATTTGCAGGATATGCAGACTTTCCTCCAACATGTTTTATATTATGTGGAAATTTTCTATCATCACACCAGGGTAGTCAACATGTGAAGATGATGAAAGGTAATTAAACTAGTAAACACATTTTAGTCTGAAAGTGTCATTTTGATCATGACCAGGGATGGGGTAATCGTAATCTGTAATCGTAATCGATTGTAATTGATTACATTTTTTGCAGTAATCGACAGTAATCTGTAATCGAAGACATTTTCGATTACATGTAATCGTAATTTAATCGATTACAGCAAAAATTATGATGTAATCATAGATTACTTTTCGATTACTTTGGTAAAATAGCTTGATGAAATATAATCTATTTTATATGAAAGTATGTATGTATTCATCACTTTATAGTACAGTTAAAAATAGAATGTATTGATATGACTTAAGAGTTTATCAAATGCCTTGTTTCTATCTATTGGCTCCAGCTGCTTAAATATGATCAACCAAATATATCAAATTATAATGTATATCTAGCTTTTGAAACAGATGACTTTTCTTGCTTGTCAATAATTTAAGACTTTTTATATAAAAATAAGAAAATAGATTTTAATAAGAAATAAGTCTTAAGTTAAAACCTGTACTATATTGCAGTAGTAAGCTTATTTGTATGAAAATTCCTTAAAGCATAAATTCCAATAATAGTTGGAATTTTAGCTTAGAATAGATAAACATTTGATTTATTATAATATTATGACATAGAAATTACAAAGTACACAAAATCCTTTTGACAATGAACCAATGGCTATGCATTAAAATTCTTGTTCAGAAATAGAGATACATGTATCCTATTTTTGCACAAAAAATATAAATTGTTTATAATTTTGAATTGAGAATAAAAAATTCTCAACAAACTTCTTGTCTTTACTAATCAGATGAACAAAGACTTCTAATCAATAAGATGCAGACTTTGTTTTGGTTTCAATTATGTCTAATTAAGAAGGAGATTTACATTATATTGCCCCAGGTTATAGTTGTACTCCATTGGCAGTATTATAGCCTGTAATTAGGGAGGTTGTCCAAACAAAAGGATTAATTCATGCATGTAATTACAAATCATAAATTATCATCTTTAAAATTAGCTGAACTAATTAATTATTCTACTTTTTTATAGTTTTTTTTCAGAGTAAACTTTCAACATTGTAATGAACTATATTCAAATATACCTGTTAATAATGAGTAAAAACAAAAAACCTAACTTAAGTCAGTATGACAGCAAAAATATGGAGATAATAACCTAAAATATAAAGAAGTGATTGATGCAATGTGATGCCATTGCAAGAACTTTATCACCAATCACTCATATTGAAAAACCAAAATTTCTAGAATTTTTGAATATTTCGGATCCTTAGACAGTGAGAGCTTCCATCTAGAAAACAATTGTCAACATAAAATTTGGAAACAATGCTTTAAATGCTATTTTTGTAATGTTCAAAATTTCCACTATACATACATGACATACATTGAGCATCATAATTGACTTTGTGTTTAACTTACTTTTTTTTTTTGTAACTTTGTAGCATGTAATTGACAGTAATCGAAAAGTAATGTAATTACTTTTGCTAAAGTAATCGATTGCAATTGATTACACACAAAAATCAGAGTAATCGATTATTAATCGATTACACAAAAATCCTTCAATCGATTACATTTGTCAGTAATCGTGCCCATCCCTGATCATGACATTGTCTGAAAAGTCCAAACAAGAAATTATAAGTCATATAAAAAAGAAGATGTGGTATGATTGCCAATGAGACAACTCTCCACAAGAGACCAAATGACACTGAAATTAACAACTATAGGTCACCGTACGGCCTTCAACAATGAGCAAAGCCCATACTGCACAGTCAGCTATAAAAGGCCCCGAAATGACAATGTAAAACGAGAAAACTAACGGCCTAATTTATGTACAAAAAATGAACGAAAAACAAATATGTAACACATAAACAAACGACAACCACTGAATTACAGGCTCCTGACTTGGGACAGGCACATACATACGGAATGTGGCAGGGTTAAACATGTTAGCGGGATCCCAACCCTCCCCCTAACCTGGGACAGTGGTGTAACAGTACAACATAAGAACGAACTATAAAAATCAGTTGAAAGAGGCTTAACTCATCAGATGGATAAAAATACAAATACTACAAATACAAGTGGACGTGGCCGGGTACTTGTACATCCAAACAACAAAACGACACTAAGTACAGAACTGAGAGTACTCGCAGTTACTGACAGCTAGTTCAAAGCCACTAACAACTAATAAAAAAAATCATGCATCTAAGACTAAATTATCAATCCGTACACATCCAACATCCAATGGATTTAGTGTAAACACGTCATAAACAGTCCGAGAAAAACATGACCTTGTGCAATGCCAAGAAACAAGTATCGACAGATTGTAGATCCATAAATGTGTATATGTATATAACAATAATATTTAGTTTGCTTTTAATTTACTGATAACAAAATCAATATTAGTACCAATAAAAACAATATTTAATGATCTAATTACAGTGTTGAATTGGTAACCTTTTAGAATAAGTTTATTTAAAGGATCGATAAATTTACCAGGATCGTTTCTAAATTTCCGGGCACAGTAAACAATATTGCCGAAAAAATGAGGATGTGCAATCCCGTTTGAAATAAGTGTTCAGTCTTTCAATCAATATTCAGATTCATTGACTGCAGTATAATCAGTATTGTTGACACTTGCTTGCAGTCAATTCAATACTGTTCAGTAGCTTTTCAGACAATTCAGTGTGTTGTTAATCTGTACAGTTGAATAACAACTACTGAACAATCTGAATATTTGCTGAACAGATCTTAATTACCGTTCCTACTCGCTTATTAGTCGGAAAATTGGGAGTAAAATTCATAATCCAGAGAGGGGGACCAACTAATAGACGAGATCTAGCGACCAGAGGAAAAATCCAAGCTTGAGAAAAGTGGTCAGGAGTGAATTTCCTGGTCAAAACTACGTTTTTGATTGCCAAACCTACATAAATCAATAAATAAAAAGTTTTTGTTGAAAATAAATGACTACAATACTGTCTTTGTGTTTTATTTGTTCTTTGGTAAACATTTTCTGCAAATTCGTGTTGAAATTCTACTGTTTCCGGTTTGTGTATTGATTTTCATGGTCACATGGTTTTCCTATAAACCCAAAAGAAGAGCCAAGAACCAAAAATGAAAAGGAGATAACAATGTACCAAATATGTGAAAGGATGTTTTCAGCGGAGTTATTGTGTCATTATTGTGATATCATGATATCAATTCAATGCTTATAAATCATATAATAATCAAAAAATAATTTTAAGATTCATTCCCAAAATCAAAATATTATTCATTGAAGTGTCTCAGGTAAACAAAAATTACAAAATTGATTGACAAGCCAATATAATCCATTGATAACCCCAATTAAGAGACAAAGAGTTGTATTTACTAAAGGTGTGAAAACTATCAGTGATAGGTAAACAGATGACACTAATGAGTTGGAGTTAGTTATTTTAATATATTGATTAGCTTCACTTAATTTTTTTAATCCTTTAATCATCACAATATAATAAGAATTATGAAGTGTACATGCTCATTTAACACCGAGTTATGTATGCTGTGAAAAATATTTTCATCAAGTGTTGATTGACTTTAAATTTTTCAGGTTCATATTGGTTTATATTCGCTTTTCTCAAACAATAGGTTGTTAGTCATACCCTACAAAATCATTGATGCATTACGTAAACAACACATGGCTAATCTAACATTTGAACAGTGAACAAAACAAGAGAAATGAATACATCTTTATTATTAACAGCAATATAAATTATCATGATGAGCATCAACTAAATTCAAACCAAACAAACATTAATGCAGAAATGAGTATTATTCCTGGATTTGCATTGGTTTTACCAGCGTTCAGTTACTGTCAGCTGAAAAAAAAATGCCCAAATTTTGTCCGACTTATACGAGGGTCAAGACTAAATCCTTAGAATTTGGAGCTGAAATCCCCGACTTATAGTAGGATCGACTATTAGGCGAGTATCTACAGTACCTGCAAGCTAATGGTCTGAACAGTACTGAGTTTACAGCAGTGGATAAGTCTAAAAATTGACAGAAAAACTGAAAATGACTTAATATTTTATTGTTCAGTGCATGGCTTTTATATGGGTTGTATTGTTGACAGTTCTCACCCTTCAATGAGATTGAAGCCGAAACTACCCTCTCATTTGAAATACCATAGATGATTTATAAATAAAAATATTTAAGATGCACATGTTATATTTCAGTAAGTTATTTTCTTGGACACATCTATTGTGTGATATTTATGACTTTAATTTGGGACAGGCACATTTACATATGTCAAGGTTAAACTAGTTATAGCTATTTTAACAAAAAAATATCAAATCTTCATTTAAAATCTTCAGACTATTTTTTTTTATTTGAACTATTTCTTCTTACTTAAAAAATGGTTTATCCCACCATTTTCTACATAAGAAAATGCCTGTACCAAGTCAGGAATATGACAGTTGTTGTCCATTTGTTTGGTTTGTTTGGGCATCTGATTTTGCCATTTGACTATGGACTTTCTGTTATGAATTTTCCTCAGAGTTCTATATTTTTGTTATTTTACTTCATACTATCGTACTTTTCTTTACATTTTACAGTGCAAAGAAATTGTTTCTGTTTCATATGCATCACTTCAAGGACTTCAGTCCAAATATCATCCCCTTCTTCCTACTCATCCTGCTTTTCAGAACTTACTTGATAAATCTATTGTTAATTTGTTGTCTTGAATATGCATACTATACTTGCCAATGTATGTTGAGCAACTAACATTCAAATTTACCAAAAGACTTATACATAACATTTTCCATATTTCTTTTTACATTAATGATACTCTGACATAATTGATTATCTGTTATCTTTTTCGTCAGAATGTTTCCACAACTTGACAGAATTGATATGCGAGTTTCCAACATTAGTTGAAAGCAGTAGATTTATATTTGTACCAGGACCACAAGACCCAGGACCTATGACGATTTTACCTAGGTATGTATTGATTTTTTTTCAGGTGCATTGTAGGACCTTTGATGGTATGACTATTTATGATTAAGAAAAATCTGAAATATAAAACATTTGTTCACAATAACCAATAAAATAATTCAAAAAATGTAATGTTTCGTCTTTTCAATGAAACAAGATATTTTTCACTTTATTGACAAATGTGCAGGGGCATTGTTAATTTTTTCTTTACTATTTAAAGTGATTTAATTTGATGTCCATTCTGCAGAATTACCTTTAAAACTAGCTTTCTTATATTTCACAGACCACCAATACCTAATTCAGTTACAGAGGATATTAGGAAAAAGATCCCATCAGCACAATTTACCAGTAATCCGTGTCGTATCCAGTACTGTACTCAGGAAATTGTAGTGTTCCGTGAAGACATTGTTACAAAGATGTGTAGGAATTGTGTAAAATTTCCAGAAGATGGAGAAGTACCAAGTCATGTAAATATAATATGTGAAACAATAAATTTTATAATGTCTCGATATTCTTAAATGGATTGATTAAAGGATAGCTGCTGAACATCCAGTGGCAAATACAAACATAATAGATGTTATATGAATGTACCATATATGACTACTTTATTTAAACTCAAAATTTGCCAAAATTAAATGGAGCAGAGTTGTGCTCAAGCTGAAAAAGGTATCTTTGAAAGTTTGTAGGTTTATAATACGTTATTCATTTATGAATATAAGAAGATGTGGTATGAGTGCCAATGAGACAACTCTCCATCCAAGTTACATTTTGTAAAAGTAAACTATTATAGGTCAAAGTACAGTCTTCCACACGGAGCCTTGGCTCACACCAAACAGCAAGCTATAAAGGGCCCCAAAAATTACTAGTGTAAAACCATTCAAACAAGAAAACCTACAGTCTAATCTATATAAAAAAAGGAGAACCGAGAATTACTTATGAACCACATCAACAAATGACAACTACTGAACATCAGATTTTATAGATACAATCTTGTTTGGCGACCAGCTGCCGTTTTGAAGGAGCCCTAAAGTAATAATTTGCAGAATGGGTTAAAGTGAATTTAAACACTCACCACTATGGTGTATTAACCTCACTCAGAATGAATATTTGACAAATGCAAACAGCTTTCAGTATTTTGTGAAAATATATTTGGAATATAGAATATTAAATATACCATGACAAAAAGGAATATTTATCTACCAACTTCAGTAAACACATTTTTAAAAGAAAGAAAAAGCCCATATTGAGCTAAAGGCAGTTCTATTAAAACATATATTGTACAAAGGAAACCACTTTGAAAATGGGGTAACTATCTGTTGAGAAAATTTAAGAAAATCCCTAACCATTTCAGAGTAGAAAACTCACCCGTAGTGTGATTTCAAACTGCTGTTTTTTGGTTCCATGTATGTATGTATGTATGTATGGAACCATCCTAAAGAGGATATTTTTTAAAGTTTTTGCCAAAACATGATCATCAAGAACCTTCAACTGAATTAAACAAACCATTTATACATTTTGGAGGATCTGAAGTGATTTTGCAACAAGAAATGTATTTTAGAACTGAGTAGATCTTTTGTATATTTCAGTTTTGTAAGACAATAGTATCACAAGGCCATTTATGTCCGTTACCGTTACATGTGTGTCCTGTGTATTGGGCTTATGATGCTGGTCTTCAGCTATATCCATTACCAGATTTAGTTGTATGTGCTGACAAGTTTGATCCTTTCCACACAACATCAGTTGATTGTACAGTGATGAATCCGGTAAGCAGATTGTCTTTATGAATTGTACAATTCCCAATATTACAATGAGTTACCAACAGGCTAAGTTGGCCTGAGATGGATTTTTCTATTTGTTCCTGATGTTTTTAAGTACTTATCAATATCTTTCCTGATGTGTTTCATTACTAATCAACTGATATATATTGAATAATGGCATTTTTGTTTTTGATTCTGACTTAATCAGGAAGAATATCAAGCAAACCTGTTAGGGCAAACTGATTTTCGAGCTGATGAGGTTTGTATAAAAAAATAAAATTCCATTATTCTTTTTATTCTCAATTTGTCTTAACTGTAGTTTTTTGGGGGGTTTAGAATATGAAGTTAAATGAAATAGTTAGTAAAACTACTTTGATATGTACAAATTGTTGGGATAGTTGTTTGGTTGTATGATTGAAGTCATGTGCATTTCATTGATAAATTGATGTGGATGGATTAGAGTACATGACATTGCTGCACTGATAACTGAGGTCATTGCCTAATATTTTCAAGTATCAAGTCTGATTCGTGATCTTGAAAATATTAGGCAGTAAGATGTATAAATTGCCTACAAACCAATATACAGTCGACTCCACTTAATTGCATACCGCTTAATAGCATAATTCTGTTAATTGCATAGTTTTCTCCTGCACAAAACCATTTCCCATTCATCTAATGTTTAATTGTCCGGTTATATGCATAGCTCTACAAGTGGCCTTTCGGTTTATTGCATAGAAAATTATCGCCATCTAGATATGCTTGGTTAAAATTTTTGACCGGAAACGGCAAGTTGGTGGGTATATTTTTCTTGAATGCATCATTATTTTCATTATTATTTCATATTTACTTTTGTGTTATTCAAATAAAGTTTTAAAACAGCTTCTTTCGTGTTTATATGATTGAATTTGATTTAAAAATAAACCTCGATATCTACACAGGTAAAGTTTCCCATGTTCTATTTTAAGCCTCGAGGTCATAAAGATGTCAAACCAGGGCTTCCAAAACGGTCATATATTCCGGACTTGACCGAAACTTTCATAAAAAGACCGGCTGCTCTCAGCCTCAAACGGTCAAATAGAATTGGTGTGCCACATTTTGTTATTCAAGGCATTTTCATGAAACGGTCATTTCAATTTTTACCAACTATCGATCGATAAAAATGTCCGTTTGGGCATTTTAGTTTATAATTGTGGCAATCTATTTCACAAAGATATTTCGGTCATAATTGGGTTTAATAAAACAGAAGCAGCATATTTCAGATACTTTGAAGTGTCTCAGTTAGTCTAATCCTCTGGGTACATAAATGTACGGCTTGGTCTTTAGCTTGTGTACATCAATAAAAAGTAGAAAAAACACGTTTTCTTTTATTTAAATAACAACAAGCTGTCAAACAATTATCCCTTCAATAAGTTATATTGAAGCCATAAATCATTTACTGATTACAGGTTTGTTACCTTTGATGAGGTGTCCTTAGCTTATCTTTATCAATAGAATTAATAATGCATAACAATGTACATAAAGGTAATCCGGTAAACAAGGTCAAACATGTAAGCGTGTATGGAACAACATCCTATTTAATTACGCTTTATAGATATTATTTTAAATGAGCATTCAGTTTTAAAAGTATCCTGATATTTAAAAGTTATTCTTCAAATAAGGATATTTATAAATGAATAAGTATGATATATATTATTTTATTTAACACTGTACATCGTGTTAAATACTGGGGTACTCTCAAGGGGAAAATTTACTAAAATATATAGGAAAAACCAATGGACAAATTTCAGTCAATAAATGATTTAACTAAGTTAAATGGTGCCGTGATCACTTCTAAATTATATCAAGAGAACAATGCCTGCTCCGAATTTATTCAGACAATTTCCGATGTTATAGAGAAAGAGGTGATGTCCGACGTAAAGTTAAGTCCCGCCGTGGGAATTATGATCGACTAAGGTGTAGTCTAGGTATTGACGCTTTAGATCAACTTATGAGGATAAGCTTAGTAGGTGTAGATGTTAAAGACTTTGACCCTGTTCCTGCTATCCGCAAATGGCAATCCGTTCGTAACCGCCATGTTTATCAGAACAATGCATTTAGCAAGCTCATGAATGTAAAATCTTTAATTAGACTAAATGAACTCTAATCTTGTGCTGTGATCTGTGCTTCTTTTCAATGTGCTCATTGTAATATTTATTGCGTGTGTTTGTCAGCATTGTGCTCTTCTGACATTTTATTGTTGTTATATGCTTACATAAAATATCATGTTGTTATTCATTAAATTATTTATCAACTGAGTATGTTTTTATTTATTCCTTATTTTCTAAATCAGGTTGGGAAATTGTACAAAGAAAAATGTTATCACTGTTCAGTAGATTTTACACGGTTTAAAACAATATCCTTCATCGGGCCTCCTCAATGTTATCTATAAATACCGCATCAGTTGTAAAAGTCACGTGGTCAGGTAATCAATACACAAAAAGAAAAGTATCACGTGTATTGATGATCAAGTTGTACTGCAATTAAAGCCAACATCAACAGTTTCAAATAAGATGGCCTTAATTTACAAAGTGTTAAGTACTCACAGAGAGAAGATAGATTATATAAACAGAAACAAAAACATGAGAACAGTCAGGTACTGAAGCTGATTGATGCAATGATGGTTACTGTATTACGATACACAGAAAAATGACACAATACCGAGGATAATATTTTATTTATTTTTAGAATGAAGAAAACAAAACAGTTATAAATAATTTTATTGCATATAACACTACTAATTATTTAGACACATATATCAATTTATGCATCCTCTCAGTTACATTTAAGTATCCAGCTGATCATTGACCGTCAAAAATATTTCTTTGAAAAATGTCCGGCTGTCGTCAGGAAATTTTGGAAGCCCTGTGTCAAACAGGTAATTGTTGTAAAAACACTGACCATTCTACCTAAAAAGGTGTAAATAATTGATTGGATTTTAAACATTGTCCATAGATAATATTTGGGGTGAAATTCAAAAACAATAATGCCTGCTAATTATCGATCATTATCCAATGTGAACTCTCGTAATTGGGCTTGGGGTGATCTGCATTTATGTTAAATATTACAGGGCATTTATATATGGTTAAAGAATTTTACACATCAATCATTTAATTTTAATATATTTTGAAAAGAGCATTTACTTCTAATTATTATATTTTCTCACTTTCAATACTCGTGTCCAGCAAATAACCCGTACAAGGCCCCATTACTGCTTTGCATATACGAAACTAACGCTTAAATAAACAGTGTTACTTCACTCTGCAAGCTGTATATTAAAGGCAGTTTAGTACACATCTATTGTTAAAATGATTATAAACTGTGTAATTTTGTTAAACAGTTTATTTTAATCAAAGCGTAACAATGTACATTGTACATACGGGTCATAGAAACAAATCTATTTTTAGAACAAATTTATTTTCGTATCCCAGGTAAACTGGTAAAGGAAATGTCAGTACGCAAATAAACTAAAACAAAATGTGTTTATAATCTTTATTGAAATAATACAAAATAAAATAACATGTATGACACTAGACATATAACTTTTATTAGAATAAATCAACATTCAATATGTTGTAATTGGATTATAGACGTTCATCTTTCTTCAGGGATTTCCTTTACTGATCTGTTCTATCAATGTTATTTGACTCCGTAATTTGGCATTTCGGATATAAGCATACTCCGCTTTATTGCATAATTTTGTCTGACAAATAGGCTATGCAAATAACCGGAATGTACTGTATATAACAATTTTGACCTATAATTTTTTATTTTTACAAATTGTGACTTGGATGGAGAGCTGTCTCATTGGTACTCATACCACATCTTCTTATATTTATAGGTGTGTATCAATCTCCTAAATGATCGTGATCGTGATGATCGATGATAACTTTGAACATTTCAAAACAATCGTGGTGCAGTTGTGGCGAAATCAGGTTGTAGTAGAAGCGTAGCGAGAGCGCAGTAAGGTTGTGGTAAGATCGCAAAGGTCGCTATACCATCGTAGCGACAGCACGATTTTTGTTTGAGAGATTGCGTTTTGATCTCACAGCGACTTTACTCTGATCTCACTACGACCATCACGTTCTCCCCGCCACCCAACAATGCTTCTGCTACGAATATACCACATTTATACTACAATTTTATTTCACATATTTTTGAGCTTGAAGATCATCATTCACCATGTTTCCTGGAAGTTGATAAAAAGCAATGTGGAGCTGTTTTTTTCTTGTACGTGAAATGACTATTTGATTTCATGTTTGTCCATGTTGTCCGTGATACCCCCTTTTTTGAAATATATGACAATGGCACATAGTGTATGTTTAACAGCTGAGCAATAATGTTTGGGACTAAGATTTTAGAAATGATGACAAAGTAGCATTACAAAAATATTGTTAAAAAGCTAAAATATTTATTTATTTTTTACATGTTTATGTCTTGTAAGACTTTTTTTTACTTTTTTTACGATTGACCGACCAGACTTTTTTATGTGAAAATCCCTAAACCAACAAATTAAAAATACTCTGGCCTGAGTGAAGAAAGTGGTAATGGGTAGGCCGGTTCCCAGGTTAATCAACAGTGAACATGCATTTCATGAAAATCTCAGAAGCTGGTCCCATCTTCAAAATCTTAAATCAGTATGTATGAATGAATGATTCTTATTATTAAAAGAACTATAGTTCGGTATAACATTGGTGTCACGAAATTTGAAATCATTTACTGAATAATTGAATTTAAGCCAATCATGATATAATTAAATTTAAAGCAATAAAGATGATGAAGCCTGGAAGTTGCATGGATTGTCAAATTATTGCCTAGTAATAAATACTCTACAAGGGGATAAATCTATTATGATTTCTTTGTGAGTTATACATGTATGTTTCCGCACATACCGTTTGACTTGTAAACATGTCGTCCCCGCTGGGAAATGTAAAACATTGTAAAAATGAATTTCTGCTGGATAATTCTTT